ATAAAACATTATTGTTAAATTAAGATATTTCAATACTAACATTTTCAAATTCAATACTCATTTTTTTATGTTTCAATGCCAGAATTCTTACTTTAGTATTAACATTCTTAGAAAGTTTTTACTTTTCATTCTCCCTGAACATAGAGTTAGAAAAACGGGCTCAACCCGTTTAACCTTGATAATTGCTAAGGCCAAACTTGAGCTTTAGAGTTTTAAAATAAAACACGGATTTATAAGGGCTAGCCTTAATGGACTGAGAGCCTAAACAGGCTAGTCCTATAGGGTTGAGGGCCAGTCCGTTTAGGCTCATTTATTTATTTATTTATATGTTAAAATATTATTTATTATGATAATATTATTAATATTCTTGATAATATTTCAAATATTTAGTTGTTATAGTAGTTTTTTTATAATTAAAATTTACATACTACCGTGGATTGTTTAATATTTTTTTGGATAAAATTTGGTTTGTTTAAATTTAGACAATAATTTGTTTGGACAAAAAAGTAATTATTTTATCTATTTTATATTCTAGACAATAATGTGATTCATGTTACATATGTGTTAATATTTCTAAATTATATTTTTTAATAATAGAGTATTTTTAAATTTGTTTAATTTTGTATTGTATGATTTGAATTAGGAATTTATAAATTTTAATGTTTTATTATTTGAAATAAGAAAATTTTTGCATAACCAAGATAATGTTGATATTAAGGATTAAAATGTTGTCTATGAGATTTGATATTGAAGTAAGGTTTTATGTTGTAGTGGAATGAATGAATTATTTTTAATCTTAAAAAAATAAAAAAAGTAAAAGGGTTCGAAGCCCCCAGGGTTGGCCCTAAACCTGTTATACATAGGGTCGGATTTCAGATATAAGTCTCTTAAATAAAACTCAAGTTTAAATGGGCTTGCTCTTTTAAGCTCGAGTTTATTAAAGGATTGAGCCAATTTATTTTTCTAGCTCTACTTAAATATAATGATCCACACACACGCGTTATGAAATTATGGAAAACGGCTTAGCCCTATTCTAATGGGCTAAGCTCTTAGGGGAAGTGCATGAAGAGCTAGCTAGACCTTTAGGTTATTCAAATAGGCTTCCACGTAGTAATTAGAGTATGGATCAAAATTGCACGCCTGAAATCATCAATAGATTTTATATTGGAAACATTTCTCAAGTCTCATCACATTGAGAAGATGATGGTAGCAATCACACCATACATACAATTGCAATACAGAAATCTTAATATGATCGAGGTGAATTAATGTATAGGAAGACTAATAGAACTAGGTGGACCATTTTTGAGTGAAGTGTCATGACAGATAGGACTATAAATGTTATACCAATCAATCCTGCCTTTCTCCTGAAGGGCCTTTTTCATTAAACTGTAACATGTATCTGAAACGTTATCAGTACTAAAGTCACAGTGCTTTCAATAGCTGCATGGGTTTTATCTAAGATTAGTGCATGCATGAGTCCATAAGTAATCAAATATATTCCCTTTCCATCTGTTTCATCATTAATCCAAGCATTCCCTATATAAATCTGACAGCAACTGATGAGTGTGTTATGCAAGAGATTTAGTGGTTAAAGTAGCGAGCAAACAGCAATGCCTTTGAGGTTAATAGTAGATTATCTGTAATATTTGTTTTGGACCAAAATGGTGTGAGCGAGTTGAGGAACATAATGACCAGCATAGCCATCTCCAATGATGAAGTCGTCTCTGGATTTGTATTACGGAAACCTCTCGAGCCAATTCATGAGGAAGGTGTATGTATCTTTTGCTATAAGCTTATCACTTACTTGAACTATGTTTGAAGAAGTGTGAGTAAAAAAACCTTAGTCCAGCATGTGATTCCAAAAACAACACGTTTGCCACTGCATATTCATCAATACACATGTAATTAATGACTTGAAGATAATGTATCCAAGTCTTGAAAATGAATTAAAGCACTATAATTTGTAATGAGTTTATATGTGTGTGTGGAGAGGAGTGTATGTGTATATCTAACCATTGGTTCAAGCATAATTGTGAAGGAATAGAATTTTTTCACTGATTCTAAAGGATACAATTTCCTCGAAGGTCCAGAAGCCCAATAAAAGACAAAGATGGCCCTGTGAATTGCAATCGTGGTAATGCATTAGATTATCGCATAAAATAGTATGCTGAATGTTTGAAAAATAATAAACCTTGGGTTATTGAGGTTGAAAGCGTATGTGAGACGACAAGAAGGATTTGAAATATATTCATCAAGTTCTAATCAGAGCCAAAATTAATTTAATAAATTAAACCTAGCTGTTTTTATGAAGAGACATGAATTATTTTTGTGTTCTCATCATCATGATCCCCATCACCCAGGATCATATCATCATGCTGCTCTTATGTATGCAAACAATAATAGGAACATCCACATATGATTTTTCACGAATAATTTTCAAGTATTAATAAAATCCAATAACTGTAACTGAAACACACATTAAATGAGTGAATTTAGATCACTTGCTGAATTCAAATCTTAAGAACATGGGCTTTGGTAGTTGTAATTTAAATTCAAAGTTAACAATTTTGAGATCGTGACTCCAGTTCGTATATATGGTCCTGTAATTATTTTATTGATTATCTTAGCATAAATTCTGTCACATTTATAACTGAAAATTTGAAAGGTTTGTATATACATTTAGCTTTTCAACTCTCGCGGAGATTATGACGGTCACTATACATTTTATTTTTCATACTATACTTATATCGCTTGCCATTATTATTTACGGGTTTTTTTTATCCATCATATTAGACGTTTTTTAATATTAAATTTTGTAGGTTATCTTTTTTCATACTATAAATTCTTATTATTAATATTATTAATATATTAAAATTCACATATCTTGATTTAATTAGATAAAAGTATATTAAGTATATAAGTCTTGCCCTTTCTCTTGTCTCACATCTCTTTAACTTTCAATTGCTTGCTTGGATAGTTTTATAATCATTGTGTCAATTTTGTAATTAAATTTATATCTGCAAAATATTAAAAGGCATACTACCATTCTTGATTAACGTTTATATTGATATCATTTTTACCGTTACAAACTCATTGTTCAATTGTTATAATCAAATTATACTTAAAATAAGTTAATTTAAAACAACTAAGCAATTTCGTTAATTTTTGAAAAAATGCTAAAGTCATCGTTTTATCAATGCATAACGAAATGTTGTTTGAGGACAATTATATAACTCCTTTAATCTATATTTCCAAAAGATCAACGAGTTGTTAAGACATTTAATTTATTAATTTTTCTTAATTATAAATTTACGCAATGCACAAGACTAAATATACTTTAACTTAAAAAAACGTAATTTATTTTAAATGTAATGCTGCAATGGCAGCGTTTTTTGTCTCTCTGGTTTTATGTGTTTGGAGGGCTTTGAAAACAACAAGGGAGACCTTAAAGATCATCAATATTCATAGAGTTTGGCCAGCCGGCTGATTCGTTATTTGGTTAATTCTTTCGGAAATCAGAATTTTTGTAAGTCCCAATGTTTGATTGAGTAGTTTTGGACTGTATCTAGTGGCTAATACATAAATCTACATAGACACCAAACCTACTAGTGCCTTTTATCCCTATTTAAGACTATTAATTAATAATATTGTTACTTAAAAATTTAATTAGGTCAATTAATTCGAATAATGTCACGTTTTTCTTTTTTCTTTTTTTTTCCCGTGCATTTCTTAATTCTAACACAAAAACAGCTTGCTTTTGACGAAGTCGGAGGGTTAGATTAATTAGAAGGTTTGGATAAATAAGTTGGCACAGGTTGTTCAAGTATCCTTTTTTTTTCTATTTTTTTATTAATAAAAATAGAATTAAAATGAAAAATGGCATGGATTTATTTTAGTTCAATTTTATGGAAAATTTCTTAAATAAAGTTTTCAATTGCCATAGCTCTATTTTTTTCGTATTTTTCCAACGAAGATCCTTTATATACTTTCAAATAAACTTTGCTTGTGGTTAAGTTAATTATGGCTCTATTTGATGTGTAGTGCTTCGTCAGTCCATAATGCATGCCTTCTAATTAAGCAAGCAGCTTATTAAAAATTAAGAAGAAATCATCAAATTGACATTTTAATTATTTAGCCTTTTAATTTGATGATTTTTTTGACTTCATCACATGTTCCAAAAGTACACTGTTGGACTTTGTTACATCTGTGATTGACTCCATTCAATGATTATTCCAACAAAAAAAAAAAACTCACATTTAAGGACCTGTAAAATAAATTATTTATGAACAAAAATCAATAACAAATCATCATTAAAAATAAAAAAAGTTAACATTTTTATTTGAACAACAATCCATTTTATATTGATGTTTATCTCTAAATAACTTTTTTTATAAGTCTTTGGATGTAGTTTTCATGTTTAATACTGTCTAAAGATCATATTCAAAGATATGCCACATGTCAGCATTTTGTAGGCTTCAATTTTCATGTTTAACACTGTCTAAAGATCCCTTATTTGATCATCAGGTTGAACCGTTTTTGAGACATTAGAAGGACAATGCTCCTTTTGACATTTAGAATACTAGATATATATGATCTTAGCAGAGAATATTTCAAGCACAAAAATACCTTTAAACCTTATATATATATATATATATATATATTACATATCTGAAGTGTACTTTCCATGTATACTTTAATCTCACTTGTATTCTTTATTTCGTTTTCCTTAGTTTTTCTTGCTGCCCTTGCCAACAAATTATGACGTAAACCTGAGTAGTGATTCCTAATCTTGTACATAAATTTTGAGACAAGAAGTAAAGTCCTTTACTTAGTTTGTTCAAGAACCAGCAGTAACAAAAATATGTAAATGAGTTGGTATGTTATTGATCAGATTGTGTAAAGTAGACGGAGGTAATTAACATAATCTACCTTTTATTTAAGAACTGACTAGAACTTGCAAAAATTAAAATATCTGAGACAATGCAGGTTAAGCCGAGCAGAAGGGACTAAAAAGTCAGAACTATGAAGATGGAGAATGAGGAGGGAGAGTGTGGTTGAGGAAAGAAGTGAAAAGAGTAAGAGCCCTTGCAGGTTTCCAACTAGGAACTTCATGCCCAGCTCCTCTCACTGTCACAAAGCTTAGTCCCTCGTATTGCTCCACGTATCCTCCTACCTGTAGATATATGTATTTCTCTTACACAATTATATACTTCTCCGATGATAATCTTGAACAAGCATACATATTTATATATATATACGCGCGCGCACAGAGAGTACACACCTCATTTCCAGAGTACCATGGACGCCAAGAAACCTGGACAGGAAGGTTGAGGCGCTTGATAGAGTACCTAGTCGATATGGTTGGCACAATTCCATCTGTGTCTCCACTGTACACTTCAACACAATCATTACTATATATGATTTGGGTTAACTCTTTCTGATAAACCAGATCATTAGAATATAAGACGGGATCACTGTGTGCTGAAAATCAACTTACCTGTAAATCCAGAATCTGATATGACTTGCAATTAGATGCTTGGTGGTGGGTAGGATGCCACTTGGTCTGTCTGTCCACTTGTACTTTCTGCAATCCAATTATACTCTTATTAAAAATGAAGAAAATGATGAGTCACCTAGTTATATGTGCAATGCTTTCTCAAGTAAGGGTAATAAAATGGGAAGATAATTTCAATTTTTTGCTCAATGCCTTATAACAAGGACCGCTTTTTGTATTTGCAGAAAACCTTATAAATAGGACTAGATGGAATATTTTTGCAATGATACCTGCAATGAGTCCAATTTGTGGGAACTGCATGGAGAGCTTGTTGTACCTTTAGGTTATTCAGATAGGCTTTCACGTAGTTCTCAGAGCAGGGATCGAAATTATTTACCTGAACTCAAGATTTTGTTAATTAGCTGATACTGTATTAGAAAGTAAGTGCACACTCTTTTTATCAATACACACAGGTGAATTAAAGCAGGAAGAGTACTTACAGAACCGGGTTGGCCATTTCTGAGTGAAGTGTTGTGACAGATAGGAGCATAAATATTATACTGATCTATGTTGCCTATCTCCTGGTATGCTTTATTTATGGAGTTGACACATTCTTCTGAAATATGGGAACCAAAGTCACAGTGCTTATCAATAGCTTCATGGGTTTCATCTGAGTTCAAGGCATGTGTCCAAAAGTAATCATACACTCCCTTTAAGCTTGTATCATCATCAACCCAACTCCAAGGATTCCCTATCTGAAAATTTCATGAATTTCACATACATACATGCATGTATCAACTTAAGATATACATAACTAAGGCAGAACCAGGATTTAACTATGAAGGGACCAAAATTAAAAAGTATATATACTATAAAACTTTCATAAATTTTGTGATTATCAATCAGCTTATTTTAATATTTTGATTTCGAGTTCTAAGATATGTAATTTCATTAAATAAATATAACAAAGACATCCCCGAGTTATCCATGAGATTATCATTGATGACAGTCCCATATAGTGGGGGTTCGAATTAATATGAGCAGGTAGTGGTAATACTTCCAAGTTTTTCTAAGATACAAGACGAAGGAATAAAAAAAAAGTTTAATTGCAGGGTTAAAGGAGTGAATGAACGTACAGCAATGCCTTTGAGGTTAATAATGGTTTTGGGTTTGTGCTTATTGTGAACTAAAATGGTGTAAGCAAGCTGAGGCACGTAGTGACCAGCATAGCTCTCTCCTGTGATGAAGAAATCTCTGGATTTGTACTGTGGAAACCTCTCAAGCCAATTGATGAGGAACACGTAAGCATCTTTTGCTGTAAACTTGTCGCCTGCTTCATCATAATTGGATGATGTGTTTGAATAGGAAAATCCTACTCCAGCAGGTGATTCCAAAAATAGCATGTTTGCCACTGCATGAATATATGTGAATGTAATTTGAAAATGATCAAAAGCAATAACTTAATTACTTAAAAAACAAGAAATGAAATCAACGAGTGTGTGTATGTCTCACCATTGTTCCAAGAATATTCATTGAGGAATAGTGTTTTTCCATTAGAGTTGACTCGAAAGGGTCCCAATTCTTGCATGGCCCCATAACCCAATGACGAACAACCTGGTCCTGCAAATTTCAACCATTTCAAAAAGCATTTAAATCATTTATATATAAGATAATATAAAATATGCAATTTTTATGTTTATGACCGATGAATTAACTAATTTTAGTTCTGTAAGATACTAAATGCAAATTTTTTGAAACGAGCAATTCGAATAATATCAAGTTTTAACCAAAACCATAAATGGTTGAAAAGGAAAGCAATTTTCTAAACAAATCAACATGCTCTTATATGTATATGCAAAAAAGAAAAAAGAAAAAAGAAAAAGAAAACAATGCATCATATGATGATTTTTTACATGTCTTAATTCAAATTAAGGTATTGAAAATCAAAATTTAATCAGTCAAGATACTAGTTTAAGGATTATTTGTTAAAGTCGTAATCAAAACAGTCATAAACAAAATATTTCGTTAAACTAATCAAAATATTAATTCAAAACAGTTCACTAGTTCAAATTGGATAGGTTGACCCGATTTTCAATATTATGATCCAAATATGAACAGCTTTAATTTGATTGTTTAATGTATAAATTCTTTTAACAAAAATTCAAAATTTAATAATTTGGTATGATTTGACCAGGGTGGTACATAGGTATATGCTTCAACTCGCTTCAACTTATTTCAATATTATCAGAAAAATAATTTATAATTTTTTGTAGGTTGAGCCACTTCAGTGTAGAATTGAAAAATGGCTAAATTTTTGTCATCTTCTCTATCTAAACAATTTCAGAGTTATAAAACAGTAATGGAACAAATAAATGAATCACATCAAGAGATTTATATTATAGTTGAAGAAACAATAGTTGGCAAAAAAAGAGAGAGAAGAAATAATAATTCTAATTAATTACCTCCATTGAGCCACAAGACAAGTGGTTTAGCGGAAGGGTTATATGGAGATTCCACAAAATAATAGAAAAGAGCTCTTCCAGCTTTTGGATTAACAGTGACATAACCTGAGTATTGATCAAAATTGACCCTCTTAGGCTGTCCAGGTAATGACCTAATCTTATCAGCCTTCCTTAATCCCTCTTGTTCTGAAACACAGTACTTTTGTTTGGACAAATCTTCCTCGTCCCACCAAGAATTTATCAGATGATCGACTTCATTATTCTTTGACGATCTCTTTGATACAATCAATTCTTGAAGCCTTTCTGCCTGCTGGTTCGCTTTGCTAGTAACACACAGCAAAGCAAACAGACTCACACAAGCATAAAGAGCAAATACCTTCATCTTCTTCATATCTTTTCTTGAACTATGGTCTAATTACAATAAAATAAGTACATGAACCTTTTTTGTTGGCCATGGTATATAGATATACATGCTATAAAATGCAATACCAAACAAATATCTTAACTTAGGAGAAAAAGAAAACATTAAATGTATTATCTATATATAAAAACAACCTGCAAAAGCTAAGCATTCCTCCCAGCAATTACTGTGAAAATATAAGTAGAATGGGACTAACACGTTTTAAAGGTGGTGGATAATATAAGGAGGATTATTGTTTGTACTCAAACTTTTGTAACCCCTTTGAATTGTTTTGATTAACATAATGGTTAGTATTACATTCATATATGCATGTGTGTTATTTAATTTCTTCATAAAGCATTGGTCTTGAGAATATATTTATAGAAGAACTAGAAAGAATCTGATGTCACATTATGTAACATCCTGATTTTTATATAAAAAAATTGTGGAATTTAGGTTTTGAGGAAAAAAATGATAATAATGGGAATTTATATTATTTGAGGTTATTTAGAAATAATATTATGATTAGGTATTTAATTATGAATTTAAAAATTTAAATTTAAAACCACATAAGCAATATTTAGTTAAGATATAATACATAAATAATTTTTTTTATGTGTGTTAAAAAAAAAGAGAGAGAAGGTAGAAAGAACAAATAAAAGGGGGGTGGAAGGTTATTGTTTCTAAATCCCACATTGGTTAGATGAAGGAAGAGAAGAGGTGCCTTCATGTATAAAAAGGAGGGGGTGTGTGCATTAGGAAGTATGAGAGGCTAAGATGCAATTTAGAAAAAATTGTAACTTTTGGCCCAAAGGTTTGAATAATTAAATTCAAACCTACAGTTTTTTTTTAATATAATTTTGGGACTCACAATCCCATTTTTATATTATTTTTCTCTCTTCCTCTCACGTTGCTCGGCGTTTTCTCGCAAGGGGGGATTATTTTATTTTTCTTCAGGTATGTTCTAACTTTCCTGTTTAGATTAGCATTTTAAAAATTTATTTAATTACAAAATTAATTTTATAGTTATTTTCTAAATAATATTAGCTTTCTAGTGATATGATTATTTTGTAGGATAGAGTAAATATTTTAATTAGGATTTTTCTATAGGGTAGTTAATCTGATGATATGATGGATTAAAAATATAGGTTAAAACTCTTAGGGATATAATAAATATTATAGAATATTTTCTTGAGGTTGAAACTCATGTTTAAGAATTTTTGAGTTAAAATCTAAATCTATATGGTTGAATTTATGTGGAATCTAAGATGTAGAGATAAACCTATGATTATTAAATATTTATTTAAGTATGAATAGGTATTTTTGAGGTTATAGAAAGGTGATTTGAGGCTTCAGGATAATTTTAAAATTTAATTTATTTTTGAACGAATTTTTAGAATATAGAAGGATGAAATTGTGATACTAGAAGTGATTTGAGGATAAAAAAAATAGTTTATTAGGGTACGAGAATTTTAGAAAAGAATTTGGGAAGTTAAATGAGGTATAAATCTTAAATTAGTGTTAATATGGATTATAGATCTAAGACTTTCTAACTATTTAAATTAGAGTTATTTATTTTAATGTAAAATTAATATATAGTATTATGAAATAATTATGTAGATTATATTGACAAAGATAGTGGTGAAAAAGGAGTTGTGAAGGGGAACTTGTTATTCAAGACACAAGGTAACCATTATTAATGTGTTGTGATGGGTGTGTTTGTGAATGATTATGTGTTGTTTTATTGTTTGGAAAAATTATGAATTATTGAAAATAAATACTGTATATACTTGTTTGAAATTATTGCCAAGTGGGTCAAAAATTTATTTTTATTTATCATGATGAGATATTATTATTCGGATATATTCCTGTTTGAATATTTGAATGATGCATGACTTGTCAGGGTATTTTAATGTATGGTGTTAATGAGAATTTCTGTTCGGTTAATTATTACCACGTGGTAAGCCCTTCATCGCATGGACCCAATTTAAACTCTTTTAAGTCTCATTCCCCTTTTACAGGAGCGAGTTCGGCTGAGAAAGCACCAGAGGTGTAACTATGGTGTATGAAACACCATCTTTTACGTTGCCTCTTATTTTGGATTATACAATGTATCTTGTGCCAACTTAGGACATATCTTCTTTGTGAAGTATGTAAACTCTAATCCTTTTTATTAAAAGTATTTATTTGACCAAGAGGATTATGTTTGTCTCTCTTGATTCATGACCTAATTTAAATATCATGCCATGGGGATCCTGACTGTCCCTCATGGTTCTAATTGCTTTTTTAAAATATTTTAAGACCTGTGGTATATTGTCTTGGATGTATCATGGTAAGAAAATTTTCTACCATGATAATGGTTTTAATAATTTGTGAAAAATTGGTTTATATTTTTGAGGGTGTTACACATTAAACCATGCAACAAACAGTAGATTACTTCATGTCAGAAATAGTCTATTGTTTGCGGCACCGCTGCCCCTGCAGCGGTCCTTATTATTCCAAAAAAAAAACATTTAAGTCTCACTCAAAAATTGAGGGTGCGAGAGGCTAGCTAGTGAGATTTTGATACAACGTATAGATTGCCAAAGAAGGCGAAACTACGAGTAAGTTTATCTTCAAAAATTTGTTAAGGTGGTTCCTCATTTAATAAAATGGATTACATTCATATACATGTATTTATAAATATATGGTGGTTATATTTATATCCATCGAATGAGCGAACAAACTTGAATCGCGGTTCATGCATCAATGAAAGAATTAAATACACTTTCATGTCTGCAATAAACAAAAGATATATTCAAGACTCTGCTCTATTATCATCATGCTTTTATGAGGCTATATATGATTGAGAATGGTGATTTATACAAACATATAAAATGTAAATTTCCAAACTTTACTGAAGTTTAGAGGCTAATATAATCAAGAAATTCATATAAGCTTCACTGTATATATTGGGAAAAAATTGTTGCCTATTCATTTTTATTATTTTTCTCCAATATCTCATATCTTTGACCTTTTAAAAATTTAAATTCAAGATCTCTAATTAAATTAAATCAATCCGTAGTCAATTGATCCAAACACCCGGTCACTAACTAGAAACTAAGCGCAGGGATGTGAGTGTGTGTGTATCTAACGAAATGAGCTGGCAAACAATGCATACACACACACATATTTCGTCATGAAATGCCTAGTAATACTGCTGCACTTTTCCCAGTGTTTGTTTACTCTTGGAAGGCTAGCTATTGAAAGAAAACTGGTCATTCTTATACACCGGCCAGCTGGTTTTCAATTTAATTATATAGCTCATCATTGATCATTACTTTAGAAGGAATTGAAATGGCTTATATATATTCTCTATTGATGGATTAATACCTTCATAAGCCAGCTTTCTGATTAATTACTTTCAAAGGCTTATTTATTTATTTATTTATTAAAAGGAATACGTGAATTTAATTTTCAGCATACTTCTTAATTTATGGCAATTGATAGAGAGATGATAAACCCAAAAAAAAAAAATTAATAATAACACGTTATAATTCACTATCTAAAGTAACTTATGTCTAAAAGTTAAAGATGACATTGTTAAAAGTAACTGATGTCTAAAAGTAAGATAACATTGTTATGCACTTTAGCCGTAAACCAATGAGCATTTGAGTATAATTGAGGCAAGAGCGTCTCGTGCTTAGCTTCTCTACAAAACAAATTTTTGCACATTAGAGAGTGTAGGGGGAAAGTGACATTCAAATTGTAAACCTACAGTAAAAGAACTCTTCATTTATATTTAAAAGCTATGGTCCCTGCTAAGGACAAGGATTTTTTACTCCGCCAATTAAACAAGCCACCCTAATAAATCCTAAACAACAGAGAAGATAGCAGATACCAGATATAGACTTTTTTCCCCGGGGGGGGTCCTTAATGGGTAGAGATCAGATTGTGAAATAACTAAGGCAGAAAATGGAGGGATTTGTTTCAGAGCAACCATAATCACAGATGAAAACTTCAGTAGCATAATTCAAAGCTTGGAGCTCATCAAGCATGATGAACTGCGCGCAAAATTCAATTGTTGCGTCAGCCTCGTTAACTTCAACAATTAACATCTATATATATGTGACATGCCAAAGAGGAAAAAGATAAATCAATTCCTGAAAGCAAAGTTGCTGCATAACTTTCTATTCAATTTTACAAGAATCCGGATTTGTCATTGTTTGATTCCCACATACTTCTGCATCATTTTGACTCCATGAGTTTGATTAAGTAAACAATTAGAGAAACTCAGACGGCTATGGGAAAAGTATACAGGAAGCCGCCTGCTAGAAATACCTACTATGCACTAAACAATAACCTTCCTAGGCCTTTTTTTAGTACAGGGGAAAGTGTAGAACACTTGGTCAAAACATCAATTGAGTGAATCACGCCTTTGTGGACAAGTGCCTGCAAAGCTGATGACACGCCTTTAATTATAATATCTCTATGTTCCACATCATAATTGTCCACAAGATGTAACAAGAATTCAACAAGAGTGTGAGTCATGTCAATGTATTTGGGAATAGAGTGCACTATCAATAACATTGCAGGTTCTATGTTCATGATGTTATCCACACTTTCATTGAAAAAGAGCCAATCATAGAACAAGGCCAGTTTTACATTGGCCTCAACATAGCTTTTCCTGCAAGATTTCAGAAGCCAACCAATAACAGCCCATCTTGGAACAATATCTGACTGAATGATCTCATTTGGTGGATGGTGTGCACAACATATAAATCGAACTAAATCAACTATAACAGTCTCTCTACTTGGCTCATTGAGAAACTTCCTTGTAAACCACATCTGGTGGCGCTTTTGCTGTCCCAACTTCACATGCGTTAGCAGAAACCGTAGATAGGACTCCATTTCAGGAGTGATCCGAAGTAAAAAATACCTACTTGAAGTCCTTATGAAGTAAAGCTGTGAAATATCTGTAAATGCTGGTGTCTTGAACTCAGATGGATTCATTACCAAATCCTTCCATATAGCTCTAAACTCAGGGACATGGAACAAACTTTGTAGTAACCAGACGATATCCCTCCCAATCTTCAAACATAAACAGAATTCTTCCCTCACAATTTTGACGCATAAATCAATCTCTAATCGCTTTAGACTCTCTAACTTTTCATTATTTGTTGACCTATAATGATCAGCTAATAGGCGAAGATACACATACAAAGCACTTGACAAAAGTAGTGGTTCTTCATCTAATATGCAATTCCACTTATCAAGAAAGAAGCTGGCAAGCTCAAAACACAACCACAAATTTCCATCACTAAAATCTCCTTCAACAATTTGCCTCAAAAGGGACACCAACAAACAATCAAAACCTACTGCCAGCACATCAAACATTTCCTTGGTAACCCAAATCAACTGATTTTTCACTGACACAAGAAGCTTTGGGTACAACTGGTGAACAATTTTGACAAGCAAATCAACAAAAAATGCGTACCCATCAGAAACAATAGCATGCAAGTGCTTGATATGGATTTTGGCAAAATGGGGTTCGCACAAAATACCGCAGAGGATTGCCCGATTAAGCTCCAAGTATTCATCAGTATTCGGGATTGTTAAGGAGAATGGGGGCCTTAACTTTGGCTCAAGACATTCAAACGCTTGTCTAAGGGAAAGCTCAATATGATTTTCGGCTTCATGAGATGCCCCCCGTGTGAACCTTGAAACCATGACAGATTCCTCCGACAAAAGGAGAGAAAAATCGCAGATTGTCAGCCAAGAAACTGAAAAGAACAATAGTGGGAATTGTCACCTGCTTCACCAAATTTTTATCCAAAGGAGATCTCGATTAATGGCTTTGTCTTTCTTTGCCATGCATGAGAGGTGGTGGTGGCTAATTCTGAGGATCCATAAGGATGTACTAGTGAGGGTTAAGTTAAACTGACAGAAAGACGGAATAGTCAATAGTCAATAGTCACCACCGACATATCGATGAGAGCGGAGGTACAAACGACAGCAAATTGCAAGAAGCCTGCGACGACGAGATGGTCGGCAAGCAACGCAGAAGCCAATACCCCTGCACGTCCACTTCAACAAAACGATGCTGTTTGGTATAAATCTGAGCACAATAAGACCATCCACATTTGAACAACGAAAAGTTAAAGCAGACGGAGAACTACAACACTGAAAACCAATGAATACTAAAACTTAAATCAAATCAAAGTCTAATAAGCAGTTCATTTGCCTTATTAGGAGATCGGGTAACTCAGGACTTGGATTCCTCCTCCCTCCTTTCCCTCCTCTTGCCCTCTTGCCTGGCACTGAAAATCCGGTCACGGTCAATGTAGTGGTTTAAGGGGTAGAGGTTCTGGTCTGCAGTCGGCAATAATATAATTTAATTAAAATGTATAAAATTAATCTTATTTGACTATGAAAAAAGAAATATTTGCGCAAAATAAAATAATTTCAAGTTTCAAGACAAATCAAGCATACAAAAGCATTTTGTAAGGTCCTAAAGCTAATATATCTATGTTCAAACATAAAATTGCAGGGAATAAAATTTTTATAACAGCTAAGAGCCAGCTTACAGACAGAAATTCAACAATATAATGGAATTACTAGTATCGAAATAGCAATCAGGCAGAGTAAAATTATTATCATCGAAGAGTAATTTGCAGCAGAAATGATCAGCAAAATGTGGGAGAGCGAGTGGGTGGGGGGGTGGGGAGGGAGAGAGCAAACCAGATGAAGTTGAGCTCTAAAAGAATCTTGAAGAGCACGAAGGAGCTAAACTCTGAAGATGAAGCTTGAAGCCAATGAACGAGGGACTTGGCCGAGAACAAGAACGACAATGAAGGTTGTGGATTCCAGCGAGGAGACAAGAACGACACCACCTGCAGCAGCGAAGACAAGAGATTTTGGCCAATAACAACAACGAACTTGAAGCTTGAAGCCACGACAACGAAGCAGCAAACACCCACAATGACGACGGACACAAGAGAAGAACAGGATTCCGGCAAGGTCACACTCACGACACAGACACGAGCAGAGGCGAATGAAAGAATTTGCGGGTTCTAGGGCAGAAACACAGGAAAAACCAGAGCGGCGTCTAGTCGAGAGTCTTGCAAAGTTTTTTTTTTTTTTTAAATCCAATTCTTAAAGAATTCGAAAAACTCCCCATGCCACAGATACACCCGTTAAACTCTGAAAATTTACTTCAAATTAGAGTTACTAAAGTAAAATTAAAATACAAAGTAAAATTATACTATGGCCCCTCATCCCCATTGATTTTCTATTAAAATTATTCATTTATTTATATAAAATTATTTATTAACTTATAAGAGTTATTTGTACTGTTTATAATCTTAATTTTATTTTAAATGTTTTAATTATGGTAAAAAAAGAGTTGTGTATTTTTCTACATGAAATTATCCATTAATCTACATGAAGTTATTTATTAACCTATAAAAATTATTTATATCATTATTAAATCTTGACTTTATTTCAAATATTATAACTATAGTAAAATAAATTATTCATTAATTTATAAGAGTTGTTTGCATCATTATTAAACAACTTTATAGAGTGAAGTAAACAATTTTACGTAAGTCAATGAACAACTTCAGTAAAGAATTAAAAGGGATGAGGAACAATAAGATAATTTTACTCTATATTTTAATTTTCCTTCAATGCCTTTAGTTTGAAGTGAATTTTTAAAATTTAACAAGCCTTTTTTTTCAATAAATATTATTACAACAACAACAACAATAAGCCTTTATCCCATTAGGTGGGGTCTAATAAATATTATTAAAGGGTTTTAAATAAATTTTTTTCAAAAGAATTTGGGTGTCTTAAGTTTTAACATGTAATATTTGATAGTTTTAAGAAATTGATAGTTTTAGACTTATAATTTTTTTAAAAAAAATAATTTGTAATTGATTTTAGTATATAACAGAGTTGTTTGGATATAGTTTTGCAAAATTATGATTTTATCTAATTTTCAATTATTTTTAGTTATATTTAAAATTAATTCCTATATGATCAATTTTTAATGAGAAAACACAATTATTAACCCCTATATTTTTATTCAGTTTTTTTATAATTTTTATAATTTATTTTCAATATTTTCAGTCATTATAATCTCTACAATCTAGTATCATTATTCATTAAGGACTTAAGAAATAAACATTACATGATCTTGTTGAAACTATAAAAATTAAAAATATTGAAAAAAATTATATAGACTAAAAGTAAAACTCAATAAATTATAAGAACCAATTATTATTTTTTCTCTTTTTTAATCATGTAAAATTGTGTCATTTTTTTGCCAAGTGTTAAACAAAAAAATAACTATAAAGATCTTCCACCCAATTCTTGGAATTAATAGAGCTTTCACCTAATAGAATTTTAAATTTTAACCCAGCTTAATTAAATTAGTTTGAGCTTTTTTATAGTCCTTGTAGTTACTATAGGTAAAAAATTAGCATGGGCAAAAACCATATATAATACCATCACCAAAACACGCACAAAAACATGAGAGAAACGGAAAACCTTTCTTTGAAAGGTTACATGGAATTGCTTGCTGGTATAATTTACCAATACTAATGGCTTCTGTATTTGATTAAAGGACATGTTGAAGCTGCAACTCTTCCAAGTCCTCTCAACATATTCTTTTGGACTATTTTCAAGTCTCAATAAGTCTAAATTAGATTTGTTAAGTATTCCAAACTACACTTTTTTCTCATAACGTTGAGAGTGAAGTGGGAAAAAGAAGTGGGAAATTCTAGAACCTGGGGCATCTTTTGGCAAAAACTTTTGGCTCATATTCTTTTGAAACATGTGCACTAGTTTATGCAAAAAAATAAAGAGGTTTTTTTTCAGTAGAGAAAGAGATCTTGCTTCACGATCGAGTACCTAAAACACTATAAGTGATCTCAACATTAGAGCCAAGATAAATATATTATCTTCAAGATAAAAGGACTTGCATTCTAATTGGAATCCCCAAGTTGACTAGGTGAAATTAAATGCTGATAGTGCAATAAGATTAAATGTGTGTTTAGTTTTCAATTTGTTAAAAATTCATTTACTCAAAATTTATTTGACAAAAATCAATTTAATGAAAATCAATTGTTATAATAAAATTTTTATTTGAATAAATATTTTTAAAAATCAGTTTGTTAAATTGAAAGTTAGTTAGATTAATGATAATTTGGGCTTTTGAATATGCAATAATCAAAAAGAACATTAATTTATGATAATTTACCATTTTTATACAAATTTAATATATTAAAAATGTTTAAAAATGTAAAAAAAATTAACATAACACAAAATTTAATATGTTAAATAATAAAAATAAAAAATATAAAGTTTAGTACCAAAAAAATTTATGTAATAAATAATTCAACATTCATTAATATTAAATAATAAGGATAAAAAATGTAAAGTTTGACGAATTGAACAAAAATTATATAAATAATTCAATAATATTAATATTAAAACTTGACATGATTAATGATGTCTTGTTACAATATTTTTAAAAAAAAAATTGTTGGAAACCAAACTTTTATTAATTTGATATATCAAAAAATTACATACAATTTGTTTTTATGTAAAAGTTATGGGCCTTACAGTCATATAAAAAAATAAGGAGAGGCCATATTTTAAAAACACATCTCAAAAGCTTCCCTACATTAAGTTGAGAAAAAGAATTTTCAAGAGTTTTTTAAAAGGAATTTAAAAAAATTTAAAAAACTAGACAACTTTAACTAACTTCTTAAAGTTTTCAAAAATCTTTCTCAAATATAAAAAGTTAAATATCCAATCCTTACATATGAGAACTGGATTAAAGGTGTCAACAAATATTTTGATTTTCATCCAAACATTGTTGTTGAGCTCCTGGTCATTTTAGAACACCTTACTCTCTATCAAAAAGCAAAAGTTTTCTAAAATTAATGTTTATCTAAACTTGTTGGAAGTAAATTCTCAACCTTATTCAAAATGAATATTCTTAATCCTACACCACTCTCCAACTACAATAGAAAAACTAGAAATTTGATTATGAAAAATTGAAGTGTTACTCGTGATCAAGCTTATAGAAAAACAAACAAGTGCACGATTATGCAATCCTAAATGTGCACCTTGGAGACTTTGATATAAAGATTCTCAACTATCCACCTACTGAGAGAAAGATGAAAACAAAAATCATTACCCGGAATGTAATTTTCAAGTCAAGTATTTTATCTTTTATTTTAAAATCTCAAACAAAATACACTTTATTGCAATCCACGTCTTGATTTATTGCAATCCACGTCTTGTTTCCATCACTTCATATATTTTATCTTTTTAGCTGTTACATAAGTTCCTCATCTTTGAATCTGCAAATATTATAGTATTTTTTTTTCATATACTTTTCTTCTTGCCAATAAATATAGAGAACCCTTTATCTTAATTTTTTCTTCCAAATTCTGATATATCCATCTGACTACATATTATAATTATTATTTTTATTTTTTTACCAAAGAGAAGATTCATTCATCAAGAATCAAAGCAAGAGTTTGACTATGGACGAAAACAAAGCGAAAAAGCATAAAAGTCATAAGCCAAAAGCATGGCAAAGACCTAAACAAAACAAACTAAAAGAAAGACAATCAGCCAATGCCTTCCCTGTCCAGATTGCTGAATTTCCTCACCATATGCCACAGAATCTCGTTGCAGGATATTAATTAGAGGGAGTGGGGGATGGAGAAGCCAACCGCCTGAGATCACACCCTTTAGAGAGGAGCCAGCCATTCAGTTGGCTGTAGTGTTTCCATCTTGTTTCAGAAACGAGAGAGAGAGAGAGGAGGCTGAGATCCTAAGGCAACAAAAAGATCAGAAAGTATCCCATGATAAGGCCAAGCACAACTTGAAGCATTGTGACTAATAAGGGCAATAAACAATTCTAGACAATCCAATTCCACCATAACATGATGGTCAGGAAAATTATTAGCAATATTTATAGCCTTGGCACATGCTAGTAATTCAGCCATGAAGCTTGAGTCAACTTGAACTTGTTCATTCTAACCTTTAAGATAATCCCCAGAGTGGGATCTATAGACGATGCCAATTGCAACTTTACCTGAGGCTGAAGAGAAAGCTTTATCACAATTAATTTTCATGATATCTTGTGCAAGTGGCGACTATCTAGTATTAGATACAACAGGAGTAGGGCACTTTCTGGAATCTTTTAGCTTGAGGCCCAAAATTCCTGAATTGCAGCATAAGTAGTTTGTAGAACCTTATAAGAATCAATTGCACCAGCATTGAAAACAGAGGCAGAACTGGTTTTCCAAATATTCCAGCAGAGGCAAGCTATATTAACTTTGTCATAGTCCTTTATAAGAGGCTCATCCAATAAAAATTTTGTACACCAAATCTCAAAAGATGAAATTGGATAGGGGTTTATAATGATTGTCAGAGCCGAACCATACCATACTTTTTTGGCTCATTCACACAACAATAGCATGTGCTGTATAGTTTCAGGTGCAACCCTTCAAATAGGACAAAGGGGGTTAGAGGCACATTTTCTGGAGTAAAGAGCATCTTTAGTGGCAAAAGAACGAGTAAGGGCATGCCACAGGAAATGTTTTATTTTAGGATGAATATGAAGATGCCAAATAGATTTCCAAAGGGCATTAGGGAAAGTAATAAAGGTGGATGGATTTGTGATGGGAGGAGTGTGGGCTCTTAAGTACTCCAATCTGTAACCAAGCTTAGGGAAATATTTCCCAATTTTAGAACAGGTCCAGAACCCAATAAAAGTTTGCTACTAAACTATTCAACTCCATACAAGTTCATTTGGGGAACTTAAAGTAAGTCATGGGAAAAATAGTGATGGCATTAATAACAGACTTAATTATAATTTCATACCCAGTAAAGGTGAGAAACTTACTTTTCCACCTATATACATTTTGTCCAATTCTATCTTGGATATAAGTAAGAGCAGCCACTTTTGATCTTCCCCATAGAATCAGGAGACCAAGATAAGGTCCTGGGTTCTCTACTGCAGTCACATGTAGGAAAGAGTACACCTCCTCTTTGATCATTGAGGGGGAATTAGTTGAGAAAAAGAGAGATAACTTGTCGTAATTGATTCTTTGGCCAAAAGCATTGCAATAGGATTGAAGGAGCTCTTTGATGACACTACAATTCTTTCGATTAGCATGCAGGAAAAGAATTGCATCATCAGTGAATAAGCAATGAGTAAGCATAGGGCATTCATCAATAATTTTAATACCAGTAGGATCACCCAAATCAGCATGCTTACCTATCATTAGAGATAATAGTTCACTAACAATAATAAATAAGTAAAGGGAAAAGAGGTCTCCTTGCCTAACACCCCTTTCAGGCACAAATTTGGCAATAGGTTTACCAGAGATCAAAATATTAAAGGCTAAGCATTTGACGCATTTCATAATCCAATAAACCCAAGTTGCACAAAAGCCCATTTTTACGAGGACAACTTCTATAAGATGCCACTCAAGTCTATCAAAAGCCTTATTCGCATCCATTTTAAAGGCAAAGTAGTAATCATCACCAGTCTTCTTGAGTTTCAAAAAGTAGAAAATTTCATAAACTAGGATAATATTGTCATGTATAAGACGGCCTGGAACAAAAGCTCTTTGATGGGCAGAAACACAATGGTCCAAAATACTCTTGAAATGATTAGCCAGAATCTTAGAAATTACTTTAAGAGCAAAGTTGCATAGGCTTATTGGGTGGAATTGAGAACCTCTTTCAGGTCTTTCAATTTTTGGGATCAGCACAAGATTTTATTCATTTAAAATACCCAGGTCTTCACTCTTAAACAGAAAGTTATTGACTAGTTTGAGTAGTGAATTGCTGACCTCATCCCAAGCAGATTGATAAAAATGCCCATTAAAACCATCTGGCCCTCGTGCCTTTGAAGCACCTAACTGGAAAGTGGCTTGTTTTAGTTTTTCCTTTGTGATTGGGGACGTAAGCCAGACATTTTGAGAATCTGAAACACAAGGATTCACATAGGTAAAGACCAAGTCAAGATCTTTGGTATTGCTACTAGAGAATAATTCTTCATAAAAACCATAGATTAAATGGACGATATCAGCTTCAGATTCGATCCACTGACCTGAGTCATCTTTGAGTTTTACAACTTGGTTCTGTTACCTTCTAGTGAGAGTGGAAGTATGAAAGAACCAAGTGTTGAGGTCACCTCTAGAAATCCAGTTAACTCTAGAATGTTTCCACCAGTAGGTTTCCTCCAACTTTCATGGTCGCTCCAGTTTATTAGTAAAGTGCTGTACCATAATTCTGCTTTCCTCATTAAAATACTCTTCTTTGACTTTTCCTATTTGGAGGAGAATATGATCTATTTCTTTCTTATTATTTGGAAAAGCTTTCCTGCTTCAGGCCATAAGCTCCGTACTACATCTCTTTGTGCAACTTATAAATTGGGGTGCAATTAATTCGGCTTAAGGCTCCTTAAGGAACTATGATTTTTTGACAACCTTCTTGAAGTTTGGACGTGTAGCCCAGTTGATTTCATACTTGAAAGTGCAAGGAGTTTTCTAGTCTTGATAGCAAAGGCACACCAATAAGAAGTGATGATCAGAAGCTACAGAGTCAGTGTGAACAGAGAGAGCCTTAGGGAAATTTTCACGAAAAGCTGGGTCAGCCATTGCCTGATCTATTTGCTCTTTGACTCTTTCCTCTTCCAACCTTTGGTTACACCACATAAATCTTGAGCCTTTAGATTCTAGATCAACTAATTCACAAGATGCAGCAAACATTTGAAAGTTCAAAATTCTACTAACAGCTTGGGGGTTACCACCATATTTCTTAAGGAGTGAGAGAAAATCATTGAAATCTCCTAGACATAGCCATGGAACAATTATACTACGCATCCAGTTGCTAATGTCAGGCCATATTATTTTCCTATCTGCTTCCACAGGGGACTACATATAAACTTAATCAATTCAGGAACTTCCCAAGAGGATGAAGTAACACAAGTATGAATATAGTTCTTACAAGAGAATAAAATTTGGATCATGATATCATTACTCCACCAGAGAGCTAATCCCCTAGAAAGACCATTAGAGGAAACATACCAAGTTGAGGTCAAACTGCATTGCCGTCGAACCCTTTCAAGTTTATCTGCTCGTTGTTCAGTTCCATAAGAAAAACTATCACAGGCTTATTTTCGAAAACAACCTCCTTGAGGTTTTTGACTGTCAGGGGTGTTCCAATTCCTTGGCAGTTCCAAGAAAGTAGACTCACGGCTCTTAGGTAGCTAATTAAGGCCAGCCACTAGAGCCCTCAGTGGAAGAAGAGATATCAATACTTGTCATCTTAGACCCAGAACGAAACCAGTCTTTAGGGAAATCAATTTCAGCAGAAATAGGAACGTTGATAAGATCACCATCACTAATTGGAGAAGGATTAGTATAAGAAATAGTAGAACGATGCTTGACTACATATTATAATTATAATTATAAGAATAAAAGATTGATATAAAATATAATACTCTTATTTAAAAGCACAACTTTTGATTTTTTTTTTTTCCTGCCTAGAGTAGTTGATTCGAGGGAAAATAACTTGATTACACTTACCTTTACTTGAAAATATATAATTATGACTGATAATGACTAATGAATACTAAATAATTGTATTAAAAAAATCTCTTTATTTTTTTGTCCAAGTAGATGAAATCAAAACCAAACTATAACGACTGATTCAATCAGCTCAACCTGAATTGAATAGTTTGTTTGAGACATATACCAAAATTGAATAAAAATTAAAGCATAAGCATGAGAGAAGAAGGAAAAGCTAGCATGTTTAGAAAAATTTATCCACTTCTAAATGTATTTAATTAGTAATCCTTTATGTTCTTCTGAAAAGCAGTGAGATCTCTGACTAAAAGAAAGAAAGCAAATGAGATCCAACCTGCATCATTTTACAAGTACGGAGAACTTGGCACTAGCGTGTTTACAGGATTAGAAAACAGAGAAAATATAATCTTTAAACTTTATAATTTTATCAAATTTTACTTTAATTTTTATAATTTTTTTTAATATTTTCAGTCCTCGATAAAAAATATAATAATTTAAAAAATAAAAGCCACCTAATATTTTGAAAACTGTTTGGAATGAAAATACTGAAAAAATTATAAGGGTTAAAAATAAAATCTGATATAAAGACTAAAAATTATATTTTTTCTTAAAACAGAGAGAGAGAGATATCACAATACAAACTTCCTAATCATGGGTCAAGAAGGTAAATTTACGACAGAAAATAAAGGACAGTATGGGAAATTTAAAAAAAAAGAATTGAAGAAAACAATTGTTGGCAGCAGTGATGGAACATGCCATTGGAATCGTATCCAAGAACACTATTTTTAATAAAGAGCTATTTCACCACATCATAAATTGCGGCAGCTCCTTAAAGTTAAATGATTTCTTCCTGTACAGAGAACAAGGACAAGAGAACAGAGATAATTTTATTTCTATCCCTCAGCTTTATCAAGAAAGTCACTAAAAATCCTTAAATTAATTATAAATTAATTTTATTTTTTAATTTTATTTTTTTTATTACCATAACATTAAAAACACTTAATATATTTGTTTGTCATTGGTAGATCTCATTTTTTAATATTTTTTATAAAATTAAAAGTTATTTTTGTTCTTCAACTTTTATTCAAGGAGTCAGTAAATACTCCCAATCCAAAAATTTTGTAATAAAAAAATATTTAAAGATGTAATGTGAGATTTATTAATAATTAACTAGTATAAGAAAATAACAAGATGATAAAAAAAAACTTTTAAAATTAAAAAATAAAATTAATTTATAATTAAGTTTAAGGCTCGTAATCCTTACTTCTAAAAAGAATAAACTCAAACAACATGGGCACATGGCATCACGGGAGTAAAGGAAAATAGTGGCTCGATAGCTCAGTAACTAGGCACTAAGCATACTGGACACCAGCACGAATCCATGATTGCAATAATCACTAAAGCACACAAAGTGCATGATTAGCTGATCACAGAAGTTAACAATAACATCATCGGTGAGAAGACCTTCTTCCTATCACGTGTCAATGATGCGCTTAGCGAGCTGCACTTCCCCACATTGTAAACGTAAATTTCAAAGACAAAATAATAATCTGTTACCACTTCCCACGAGAAGATAAGAACGTGATTGCTTACGTATTAAGTACCCTCTTTGAAAATGCCATATTTTATATTCTACATATTGTTGTATTCTAAACATTTATATATATATATATAATCATATATTCGCTTTGATAATATGTATTATCTTTTTATTATATTATCTATTGTCTCTAATTTTAATTTTTATAATATTTTATTACTAATGTTTATTTTTTAATTAAAAGAATTTGACGTAAAATTATAATATATTAATTTAATTATGACTTGTCAAATTATAAGTTTAATGTTTAGTTCAATTCTAAAAAATATTTTTAAATCCTATCTTAGTACACTTGAAATTTGAATTATAAACATAGATTATATATATATATATAAATGTATACTTTAAATTTTTTTATAAGTCACTTCTAACTAACTTATTAAAACTAAAGTGAAATAGTTAAAATAATAAAATTATTTTAAAAAATAAATTATTTTTTAATTTTATCGTTATATTTAAAAAGAGTAATTTGATGTGTGAAAAGATTTTTTTAGAAATTGAAATCTTACATTTTCTTTTAGAATTTGTTGGATTATATTTTTGGAATTGTATAAAAAATTATTTATATAAAAAAAAATTAGAATATGACTTACGAAAAGGATAAGAGAAAATATTATACACGTCCAACGCCAAAAATTTTAAGCTGACACCAGATGGCGAGGTTGGTGGGCACCTACAATGACTATAAAGCCAAACTTACCATTTCGAACCACCATATTACTGTAATGTAGAAAAAATAAAAAATGAAAATAGATTAGACTAACACTTTTTAAATATTTATATCTAATAGAGTAGCATAGCATGCTCGCTTTGACATGGAGAATCCGAATTAAACGTAGCATGCATTCAAGGGTTTTCGGCAGGATTTTTAGGTTATGGTCCAATTTCAAGTGACAATCTTTCAATTATAATTTACTTAGTAACAACAAATGTTTAGGGTGTGTTTGGTTCAAGATGAGGGGAGGGGAGGTGATAGTTTTAATATTATTTTATTTAATTTTGTTGGAGTGGGGAGGAGTTTTTAATGATCCTTTATTTGATTTAGGAGGGAAGGTAATAACTAATTTACTATTATATCTTTAAATATTAGTTTAAAATTTTTTTTAATTGTTTCTTGTAAAAAATTATTTTACATCTTAATTTAAATTACATGATTTCTTAAAAATTCACTCTCATCCTATTACATTGTCAATATGTGAATAAAAAAATTAAACAAATAATTATAATAATACCAATTTTTTATAAAAATAAATAACTCCCTTAAATATATAATAAAATATGATAAATTAAAATTTAAAAAAAAAATTCAATGAGGTCAATCAAGGTCTAGGAGCGAAGAACAATTTGATATGAAGGAGAGGTTTTTTTTTTTTTAAGCTATGGATACACATAAAATGTTAAAAAATAGATAAGGACAAAATAGTTAAAAAAATTAGCTCCCCTTCAAAATTTTTTAATCAAATGAGAGGAATCCTTTCCGTCTCTCCAAAACTCCTTAACCAAATACACCCTAAGAAATGTTTAAGTAGGTCTAATATATCATGTCATGAAAATTTTTTACAATGACGTGATGCATCCTTCATCCATATCTAATTAATAAAAAATATATTATATCATATAATTATAAATATAAATTTATTTTTTCATTGATAATAATAGAGAAAGAAAAGAAAAGAAATTAAAAGAGAGAAAGGAAAAACTTAAAAAATACACTCTATTTTTAAAATAAAGTTATTAAAAATAATGATGCCTAATATTTTACCTGATTGAATTGGAGCAACATGATATATTTTTATTAAATAGAGTATAGATGTCATGATGTTCCAAGTCCATATAAAAATTTCTTTTATATCATATGTACACTGGCCAATTTAAATATAACAACTCATTTTATTTTAATCCCAGCTAGCTGTTTTGATTTTATATTATTTATTTTAGACATGTAATTTTCAAATTAAAAATTTTTTTAATCAATTTATTAATCATTAATTCTCTCATCTCTTCTGCATCCAAATATTTTAAAATAACACAACATAAATTAAGGAATTGTCAACTATGATTAAAATAACAAATTGTGATATTTTAATTAGATAGGCTATAAATAAGTGGTGTTTTTGATACAGATAAGAATTTTTGGCTTAATTATTTGGTTTTATTTGTTAATGCCACTTTTCAAGTAGAGCCAGTGTGGGCTCAACCTGCAAAAAATCGGCAAGTTAGGTTGGAAAAAATAGATTTAATTAAATGTAAGGTGATTTTGGCCCACTCCTCATAAATTAAATTTAAATTCAACAAGTAGGTTGATAGGTTAGCCTATTTATATTGAAAAAGGAAGACAAAAAATAAACAAATAAGATTAAATTTAAAGTGAAGCATTCAGAATAAACATGCATAGAATTATAGTTTAAATACTTGACATTTTATATTTATTTAATTCAAGTTTAAATTATGATAGAAAATAATAAAAACATACCGCTCATATATTTAAGTGGTGATATAATATAATCCGAATGTGATTAAGATAAGATTGAATAAATTTTTTTATTATCCTTTGTTTCATTCATATAATAGCTTATTCAGATTATTTTATTCACAAAATAGTACTATATAAGCTAGCAAATAAAAAAGTTTAGTTATCATTTTCATTTAAAAAATTAAATATATTTGTGAAGTGCTAAATATATATTATACTATTATCTTAATTTGAACATAAAAGGGTAAAAAATAGATATAGAGATCGAAAAGTTTATGTGATATAAACTGAATGTATTATAATTGGTAACTTAATGGTAAGAATTAAATCATCATGATTTTTTTAAAAAATAATTGTTATTTTAAACAAGGGCATCAATTTTCTATCAAAAATGTCAAAATAGGATGAAAAGAAAAAAGGAATAGATAAATCATTTTTATTAATTCATATATGTATAATACTGGTCAATCATGTAAAAGATTAGAGAACGAAATGATTATAAAATTAAATTAATTTATATTTAATTGGTAATATAAATATGGCTTAATTAGAATGACTTTTATTGTTATTTGAATAATTAATTTTTAGTGGGAATATATAATTTTTTTACTGTAAAAAATTTATAAAAAAAGATAAATTTATAGTCTTTTAAAATTTAAAGAAGTATAAAAATATTTTTTTTTATTGGTGGGTTGGCCCACTAACCACCAACCCACTGTG